CAAAAATAAAATTTTGAAGGAGATCCGGGCCAACCAAGAGAGATCTGTTTAAGGAAGTGCCATGAAATTTGGATGCTCCATTGAGCACACGGCGCACCTTGCCGGGTTTGTTCGGGTTCAAAACCGGATGGTGTGGAAGATACCACTCACGTTCGGCTCGTGAGCTGGGATCGTGCGGGTTGACGGTTATGACATATCCTTTACTTATATCTTCTCTGATTGTTTCGGTATACTTCTCGCGAAGTAACGGATCTTTATCTAATCTTTTCTCTAACGACTTCAATTGGGCTAATGAAGAATAATAATTGTTAGGCAAGCGGTTTCAGTTTTTAGGATCGACAAAGCACGCTTGTCTGCGGCGGAACGGGCATCTACTTGCTTGAACGCACCATACGACTCTAACTCATACCAAGTTTTGATTTGGTCGGTCAGAGAAGTATCGTCCGTAACGCAGTTAAAGGAAGAAGAATTTAAGGACGAACGATTAGGAGACGGACCACTAATGACCCAACCTATCGGAAGTCGGACGGCGCACGGTGAGTCAAGTTCATCTCCGAAGACATGTTCGAGGGGTCTTATCGCATGATAGAAGTCCTGTCCTATAACTATCTCAATCTCTTTGTAATTATACGCAGTCGTCTTTAACGGGGCTAGTTGCGGGTATTTGACCTGCAATTCGGAAACGTTTATAACATCGGGTCCTATATACATGTTGTGCTTAACGAAAGCGACAAACGAAAACGAAAATTCACTTTCATTGGGCTTTGCGGAAACTTTCAAGTGAACTCGTTGAGTTTTAGATACCTTGGCTGAGTTAAAACCATCGGTCGTAACATTTACGGGCGTGCCAACTAATTTCAGACGTTCAACGAGTGCCGCGGAAACCCAAGAATGAGTGGAACCGGTGTCACAAAGTGCTAGTGCATTCGAATTTTCCGAACCAGAGGAGACATCTACCAACGCAACGGGAAGAATACCTTTTGCAGTTCCCTCACAAGGTTTAACACAAGCTGCGTTGTTTGCAGAAGTAGTGTTTGTATTAGTTTGAGTCGATGGTGATCGGTCGGCCTCTTTGGGCGGGAAAACTTTCTCGGCTTCATGAAGAAGCACATTGTGAGTGCTCTCACAGTCCTGTTTTGGGCATTTTCTTGCCTTTTGGCACTTTCGGAAGGTATGGTTGCCTTGTAAACAAGAAAAACAGAGCTTTTGTTCTGCTACATATTTAGCCCTTTGTGTTGCGTTTTTCTCTTTGAACACGGAACAGTTCCAGAGTGCATGCTGCCCTTTGCATAGCGAGCATGGAGGAAACCTTGTCTTTTCTCTACTTTTCTCATCCTTAGAACTTACCTTAGTGTTAGCTGCAAGCACTTTTGTAACTACTTTTTGTTTAACTGGCTGCTCGACTTTGACCAAAGATTTCAATCGCTCATGGCCTTCTGCCTTATTCTTAAGCCAATCGTTGAAGTCTAGCAATGTTAATCGCTGCCAATGTTGTCTAACAGTATGCATGGACCATGCCTCTTTTAGATTTGGAGAAAGCTTACTGACGGCTTGATTTAATAGGTTCACACTTTTCAAGTCGTCATTGAACGACAAAGACCTAAAAACAGCTACGAGCCCAGAAATCACCGCAGAAAAACTTATAACATGGTCAGAGTTGTGCATCTTCAATGCGGGAAAATTCTTCAACTTATCCAAATGTGCACCAACTACAACATGAGGTTGCCCAAACTTTCTCTGGAGAGTTGCTAGAGCATCCTTATACAACACTCCACTGTAGCCGTATTCCGCAATTGCACTCTTGGCTTTGTCTTTAACGTGTGTTTTCAGATATTTGAGTTTTTCATCATCAGTTAGCATAGCCGAATCAACTGTTGCTTGGAACTGCCCGAACCATTCATACCAGTTAAGTGGTTCTCCATCAAACACTTCCAAGTTCAACTCCGGTAGACGGTCTTTGCGGCTATGCAGAATGATATCTGCTAACTCTCTCGCCGAGATGGGTTGTTCGCTATTAGGCACGTAAGACGGGCCAGTAGTGGGCGCAGGATATGTAGGTGGATAACCTTGATGCTCTGTTTCAACAACTGGATGAATTTGCGGCTGGGTGTAATACACAGTCCCAAAACTTGTATAAGGAACTACGGTGTTTGGTGGAACAACAGGAGTTGTCACTGAGAAAACGTTTGAGGGCGGTGCGCAGTATTGAGGAACTGGCATCGTTTGCGCAGTCGCGGCAGGTCTCCACAAACTGCTATACGGATTATAGTGTTCACTTGAGAAACTTGTTGGGTTGTTTGGAACATTTATAGGTTGATGGGATGGCGCTGCAGGCGCCTGATACCCAGTTGAAACGGGGCCGGAATGTGGCTGACTGACCGGAAGCAAAGAGGGAATAGGAACGGTTGACGGGACAACGGGTTGAATAATCGGAAGCGAAATGGGAATCGGAACGGTTAATGGAGGAACAAAAGGTTGACTCGCCGGAAGCGAAACTGGATTAGTAACGGTCGACACAGAAGGCGGTGCCACATTAATGGTGGGATTACCAAAGGGCATTGAAGCGGGAATGCTACCACTTGCTTGTGGTATCAGATTGTGATTTTGCGAAACTTCAGCATGAGGTGTTGAAGCTAAGTGTGGAGTAACAAAGTTTGAGCTGGAGGCAACCCCTTGCAAAACATCAGAAGCAATCAAAGTGGAACTCTCGACTACTGGATGACTTTGCTCTGAGCTTGCAACAACTTCGGCCTGCTCTTGCTCAGTGACAACGTTTTCTACCCATTGTTCAGTACGTTGTGGGTCAACATGTGTTACGCTAGCATTTCCTATCTTCTCACTTGCTGCAGAAAGCTCTTCTTCCAACTCGAATTCCTTTAACTCAATTTCAGCCAGTTTCTTGCGGTGTACCTCAGCTAGTTCTTCCAACTCTAAATTACCTTGCTGTTCTTTTATTTTATTTTGCTGCGCTTTCAACTTCAATGACACCTTTGCTTGTCTCTCAAGTTCCTCCTGCTGCTTCTTCAAAACCAACAAATCTCGCCTCTTCTCAGTTGATGTTTTTGACTGCGCGACGGTATAGCGACTGGATTTATGCGAACCTGATTTATGATGTCGACTACTGTACCGCGACACCTTAGAGCGCGCATCTGCTTCATGTGAATCTTGTGGTTGTGTTGTTACGATCGTACTTAACGATTCTGCAACATTGTCAAGCTCTGTTTCCTCAGGTTCAACGTTTAAGCCAGCTTTATATGATGCAGCCTTCTGTAAAACTGTATCGTTTCTTGATGTAACCGTATGAAGCCACATATCCTGCGCTGGTATCAATTTATCAGGATCAACACTTTTAGAAGCTAACTTAATCAATTCCTCATTTATTTCAACTGCAGTCTCTATCAGGCTCTTGCAATTCTGAATCTGAGTGTCAATCTTTGATGAGCGACTCTGACTTTCAATGTTCCCAATTATAATTTCATGGCACTTGTACAGTTCATTTTCAAGCTTGGTTCGCTTCGCAAATAACCTTTGAACCCTCTTCTGAAAGTTCTCATCCATGGCTCTAGGGTCTATACTTAACTCAAACTATACTTAACGGTTATCGGGCGTTTGCGGGGCGATTCGGAACGGTTTTCGGTGAGTAAAGTTACCAATGGGGCTGGGGATTAAGTAAGTCGGTTGATATCAAACAACACACACGGAGTAAACCTGAGGATGAATAAAACCAACTTAACTTACTTAATATCACCTCCCTGACCACTTAGGATGATGTTACGGCGTACGAAATTGGTTGAACGGTCGTACGACGGTGCGTCACTACTAATCGGCTAGTAGCTCGACGAATTACCAAGAGGTTTGGGAATTAAGCAAGTCGGTTGAAAACCAACAACACACGCGGAGCAAACCTGAGGATGAAAGACAACAACTTAACTTGCTTAATTTTACCGTCCCGGACCACTTAGTCAGTCGTTGAAAAACGAATGTTTTGAAAAACGAACGGATGCAAACAGGTATCAAGTCGTTGTAAACCTTAAGTTTACCAATGGGGTTGGAGAATCAGGCAAATCGGTTAAGTTCCAACAACACACGCGGAAAAAACCTGAGGATGAAAAAACTCAACTTAATTTGCCTAATATTTCGCTACCAGACCACTTACCATAAGGTTGGTGTCATGTTACAGCACAGTTTCGCAGAATTATGGGGACGTTTCGACAATTTTTTTGGAAATTTTTACTTTTTTCCCAAAAATTTTTCGGAAAATTTTGGTCAGCAGGTTCGAGTCGTAAACCAATCCAAAAAACTAGTCTAGTACCCCTTGTCTTTGATCCGATTTCACGGATTAATATTCTGTTCACAAATATCCAAAAATTTTTGGTATCGAGAAAAAATTACCACTTGTAGCTTGCTTTGAGTTGGGATACACAATAACACATCGTACGTAATTTTATTGCAAAGAATGGTTTGTAAAGATTAGACTAGTCTTACAGTTTTTGACGGTTTTGGAGATTGGGCGGTCACCGGTTTCGGTTGTCAGATTTTCGGTCCGCCGCGGAAGAATTGTCCAGCAATCACCTCTGTATATAGGCCTTCAACTCCAAGACACCAGCTGTGAATATAAAACTGGGGTATTTTGGGGTCTAGTTTGATCGCTTTTGAGTAACAATCCACAGCTGATTCGTACTTCTTTTAGCCGAAGAATTTATTTCCCTCCTGCTCAAACTGAAGGGCCTGGTGTGAATGAGCCATATTCATGCTTATTCCTCTATTCTCTTTTTCTCCTTGTGTTACTGAAATGACTCCTCCTTGGTTCTGATACTCGGATTCTGAATCATTTCAGTGATACACTCGGTTTCGGCACAGTTGTCGCACAAAGCAGCAAGTACCGCAGAGGCTCAAAGCCACTGTTCTAATGTAGTTTACTTGTGACGGATGATTTCAAAGCGCTCACTTACTTGAACACTTCGGCTGACTGCAGAGGAGAACGAATGTCATATTTACATCTATTTAATAAGTTAATCACACCAATTAGGCTAAATTCGGATCCCTTATGCAGAATTGTGAATAACTTCGTTGTCTTTTGTGCAGAATCGTGAATAACTTCGTTGTCCCTTGTGGGGCGCCAAAATGTGCGCGTCAATCTCCAAGATTATAAAAAAAAACGGTTTTTAAACACTTGAATTAACGAGTATTTTATCGGGAAAATAACTCTGGAAATTTCGTAATATAATGATATTTTTAACAAACTTTTTTATTGTTATCGGTAACATCGGACACAAAAAAAACTGCATAACTCAAAGCAAGCTGCAAAAATGGCCAGTATTTGTCCTTGAGACAAATTGCTCTTTTTAAAGGTCAGCCTTAATCAAGGCTGAACCAAATTAGAGCGAAAAGACGGTTAAAATCGGTTTTGGGGGGACCGAACCTGGTTACGGGGCATCCCATCAGGTTCGGTGCACATTCGAGTTCTAGAAAGGAAATGACCTAGTCGGGATTCGAACCGGCGCCGAACCCGCCGGGACGCACCATGTATACGCTTGGCTACTGTCCCTGTATGCATTTACATTTATATGCATTTATACTTTCGCACATTTACGTTTATATGCATTTGTACTATTGTTTTATATTTGCGCTGCAACAAAACGAGAAAATTGTATTGAGATTTGATAAACATTTGCACTACCAGACCGGACGGATTTACACACACGCAGCTTGCACGATTATAGTACGAGACCTCCTCTATTCAAAAACGCACGTTCCACTGCACGGTTTTTTTTTCAATGCAAAATATGTCCGATTAATTATAGACCTGATTGCATTTAATTAATTACGTGATCAAAATTATCAAAATCAAGAATTATACACGCAGCGATAACCAATTTGAATCCAATTTAATTATTCAATCGGAAGGTTTTAACTTGTCATTTTACGGAGGAGAGATTAGCATTATAACCTTAATGTGAAATTAATCGACATAGTAAGGGCAAACCATTGCAATTAGTTTTTAGGGGGTTATGAATTTTTATGACAGAAAAATTAGACGATATTATTGAAGCATTTTTTTTATTATGCGAAACTTGATATAATATTTTAATTTAAAAAAATTCATGAAATGCAAGAATTATACAAAATTGACACATAACATTTGTGTGTTGTGAAATTGTTTTTGCACAAATATTATCAAGTTTATCTTGAACTTTATTTTTAAAAAAATGTCTATTTTTTATCAACTTGTTGCGTCTAGTTTGATAGGCTAGAGTTTTCATGTTTTTGAAGTTTTTGTTCCGACTTTTGAAGAAAGTAAGAATTATATATGCTCGGGGTGGTTTTCTTATTCAGACAACTTTCCAAAAAAATCTCTCGGGGGATCCTGGATCTTTGTTTTCACGGAAGGTTCATGGTTAAATTTTTACCTCCTTGATGAATTTTGCCAATCCCTGGTTTGAATGATGTTGCATCCATAAGTTCTTTTTTTTATGTTCTCTAGAAATCTGCTGCCGCTGTTTCTTTGTTCCATTTTTTTTGCCAGTTTGATCTTTGATTTTGTCCGAAATACATAATTTTTCAATATTTTTTCCCAAAAACTGTTCGACATGGGTTATGGGGCAGTAGGAAAATTCAGGGCTTTACTCGATATACGAGCAGTCTTTTTTTAAATTATTCAATCATTTTTCGGAGCAGTCTTTGTTTTATTACTCAATCACTTCTCGGCGATCGAAATAATTATTTTATACCCTATTGAAAATATGGTTTCCCTGAAATCAAATATAAAAGTATATTTTCCCTCCGATTATTTATTGCAAAGTTGTGTGAGTTTAAAAGTTGCCATTTTGGCCATCTTTTGGATAAATTTATGCGCGTTTTGAAGATTTTTTTTCATAATGCTGAAACGTAACAGTAAATTATGATCTTTCAACGAACTAGTGAAGATCCTTGTTCAACTAAAATAGAAGGCAAGACTGCTCGTATCAGGGCGAAGCCCTGAATGTTCCGACTTCCTTTTAAGGTTTTATGGAGCAGTAATAACATTAAAAAATTAAATGTAATAAAATAAAATATTTGTTTTAAATTAGAATATTTTGATGAAAATCATCCCCTCACACGCCATATAAAGTACAACAAGACTGCTCGCATCAGGGCGAAGCCCTGAATGCTCCGACTTCCTTTTAAGGTTTATGGAGCAGTAATAAAATTTAAAAATTCAATGAAATAAAACAAAATGAAATTGTTTTTTCTTCCACAATTTGAAAATTTTTATGAAAATAATCCGCCCACACGCCATATAAAGTACAATAGGATTGATTTCGCTCCTTGTAACAAACCATTTATGGCGAATAAGCTTCTTTCAACCAATTTGGAACGATTTCTAAGACGGATTAACTCTCCGCTTACGCGTTAATAGCGCGAAATATATCGCGCGTTAATTGTCCCAAATTGGCCAAAATGGCAATCTTTAAACCCCCGTAACTTTACGAAAAATGATCACAGGTGAAATATCTTTTCGAATTTGAGCTCAGGACAACAGTACCTTTCGAATGATATAAAAAAATTCCGTCAAAAATGGCTAGTTAAAAAGTCGAAATTTGTCTGAAGAAAAAAAACCCACCCAGAGCACAAATATTCCGTTACTTTCGTATCGAAAGTCGGAACAATAACGTTTTCATGGCGTATCAAAACTCAGCTGAGCATTGCATCTATTTAATAGGTTTATCACTACAATTAGGTAACGCGAATTAGTTATGCGTGGCCAATTATCCCGCTCAAAAAATTGTTCCAAATTGAATTGAGGCTAGCTTTGTGGTCGTATATTTTTTGTATGCATCAAATTTTTACGCTTGATCTATAATTTTGTCCAAAATTTATATTTTTTCAAAATTTTTCCAAAAACTATTCGATATGGATTAAGTGGCAGTCGGAACATTCAGTGCTTTGCTCTGATATACGAGCAGTCTTGTCGTTACTATACGTCGTAATGTTACCCAAAGTAGCCATTATAATAGCATGCAAAAATAACGTAAGAGAAATTGCAATTTGGGCTGAAGGGGTAGAAAAGAGCCGGCGAACGGATAAACAAATTCGATATTTGATCAGGTGCCTCTGAAAAACTCCTCTGCTTCAGATTTTCTCCCGAAGACGACGTGGACAATCTTGTGGAAAAAAGGGGCGAGCACGTCAGAGTGCCAGATGGAGGAGTCCTGCGAGATCCCCCTGCGGCTACAATTGCCGTTGGCAAGGTGACCTTCGAGAACCCACATGTTGTATTGGCAGTGGTGAGTGAGTGGGTCATTGTTCCTACCTCTTGCCTCCTTCGGGCAGGAAAACGAGGGGGGATTGGATAGGAGAGCAGGGGTTGGGTTGAAAGTTTTTGAGCGGTAAGGGAGGTTAAAGGGGGAACAATGCGCTTGCTTCTGCTATCCTAGCCTTTTTTTAAGTTGCATGTGAGAAAACTCATAGTATAAGAAGACAACGCACTTTTTGGTACATTCGCAGATTTTACAGGGTGTTTTTAACACTTGTTTTTTTACAACTTCTCTTTCATTTCACAGATATTTGGGCTATTGAAGTGATTTTTTTTTGCAGTAGACAGCCAAAATTCGCCGAATTCTGATGATATAATTCATTGAGTTGGATTATTTTTGTTTGCGCTTTTTTTGAGTGCTAATGAAATTTCACAGCATTTTGTGCAGAACAAGTTACTATAGTTCTGAATTAAAACAACCGAATATAATGAAATAAAACAGAATGCTTAATTTCTTATTTATCAAATTCGGTTATATTTGGCCGAAAAAGATGGGGACAAAAATTGCTTGGAATTTTACCCGCAATTTATGAAGCAATTTTTTTGTCAAAATTTTGAACCAAAACTACGTATGTAAAACGGGATAACTCATTTCTTTCAAATTTAAGGAGGTAAGCAGGGTCAATTGTAGTTATTCTTACATCAATTGACCCTGTTTACCTCTTTGCGTTTGAACCAAATGATTTAACCCATTTTACGGGCACACCCTGGTCCAAGTTTAGGCGCAAGTAATCGATTATAACGGATTGTTTTGTTGATTTTTTGACAATTATAAATGATTATAATTATCAGAGATAGATTTTAGTTGATTTTAATTCCAACAAAAAACCCTTCCAATCAATTATAATCGATTATAATCGATTATAAACTCTTATTTTAGCATCAAAAGTATATTTCAATTATGTCCAGGTTTTTTTTCTGTCAAAAACAAAATCTCTAAAAGCGAGATTTCTTGTCACATTTTAGTTCATCTGAACACAAAGTTTTACCTCTAAACAAAAGTTTCAAAGAGATCCTTTCATATTAGTTGAAAGGTTCCCGCGGTAGGTAAAAAATAAATTTTCCGAAAAAATCATGAAACTAAAGCAATGTGCTGATATTTAGGTGGTTAAAATGTGCATCATGAAACAACTTCAATGGAGAAATGAAAAAATAAAAAAACTATAAAATTGAATTGATTTTAAAACATTAAAACAATTTTCTCATTTTTCACATAAATCAAAGTATATGTGGTTCGTAAAATATAAGCAATTCAGTGGCAAGGTCGAAGACAAAATCGATTTAAATTGATTTTGGTGAACAACAAGTGAACTCGAAATTGAGATAAAAATAATCGGTTTTAATCAATTGTATTTGTTAATAGTTTTATAGAAAAATAGATTGCTTTATAATCGATTACAATCGTTTAAAATGCGTAATAATTGAATATAATTTGATTTCAGCAAAAGAGATTACAATCAATTATTAATTGATTAAAGTCGTTTTTTGATCAATTTTATCAAGTAAAATCATAATATAATTGATTATTAACGGTTGAAACTGGATGCGGGTGATTTTGGCTCAAAAACTTGCAAAAAACTGCACCATAAAAAAGCTAATAAATTTCCAAGCAGTTTTTTGTTCATCATTTTTGGCCAAACATAATGCAATTGGAGAAAAACGAGTTTAAATATTCTGTTTTAATTCATTTTATCCGGTTATTTTGATTCAGCACTAGCTTTTCAGCATAAAACGCCGTGAAACGTCCTTCTTATTTATATAATCTGAATTCGGCAAATGTTTACTGTCTACTGCAAAAAAAATCACTTTAATAAACCAAATATCTATGAAACGAGAGATGATTTTCAAAAAACAAACTTTGAAAACACCCTGTATATTGATATCGTCATTATTGGAAGCGAATTAGTCGTATGCTGATCTTTTCTTCCATAGATAAATGCTGTTTTCACTTAAAAATAATGAACCTAATATGGATCTAGAAGTTTAATCCTGGGCAGAACCCCAAAATCTTTGCTTTTTATTGATATTTTGTAGCAATGCACAGACCCGGTGTATTTTCAATTGAAGCATAAATTGTTCAAAGATATACCTCCGGATTATATTTGTGGCTTTGTGTTGATGACAGGACTGGAAGAAGGACGTGAACGTGTCTTCCCTGCCGTGGGCCAAGTCTATTTTCCACCTGGACGAGAGAGATCTGCCCAGTCAACTGCAGACCAAACAACCAGTTAAAGAGTGTCCAGATAAAAAATACGACCCATCAGGTACGTCCATTCAAAAAAGCAGCATTGAAGAGCCAGTAAAATGTTTTAATCTCCTTTTAAATGGATTTTTTGAATTGCGGATTTGACTCATTTCAAATTTCAAAACACTGAGGCATGTAACGTTGTGTGATTTGAAGTTACTCTTCAAAATAAGAAATAAATCACTGCCTTTTCAACTGCCAAGTATCACTCAGTTACAATGCGGAAAAGTCTTTATGCCTTATTAGTTTTTGAGAGCTGGGAAAAAAAGTGTTTCAGATGCAGGTCTAAATGCGTGTTGTTAAGCGATTTGGTTGTTTTGTTTAGCAGTTGAGATGTGTTGTGAGATAGTGTACTTCATTGGCAGCTACAAGTGTGGATCAACCACACTGGCCATCCAACTGAAGCACCAGATAAACAACACGGAGAAGTATGACCCAAACAGTGGCTTCATAGATGCAGGCAAGGAGCCATGCTGGGCCATGAGTGGTGAGTCACCTTTGTCATTGAATATGTATGACCATATCATCGATTAGGACACAAATACCTAGTCTCAGAATACCTCTGCAAGTAAATGCAATAGCTGACTTTTAAAATTACCCTCATAGATGAGATGACACAAGCGGACTAATAAGTACAACAGAATGTCGAAACTGCGAAATCGTAGTTTTCGAAAGGCGAAGTGAACTCCAAGCGCTATTTCCTCAAAACATCGAGCCCTCTGTTTTTTTGCTTCAGTTGCTTCATACAGTGCTGATTTAAATTATCCGGACAAAACGAACAAAATTTGAATTTTGAAACGCGTTTTTCTCAAATTAGGTTAAGAACAAAAATTGCTTAGATTTTCACCAGAATTAATATGGTGCCATTTTTTCTCCGAAATTCTCAACAAAAATTTTACCCCAAAAATGGGTCATTTTGGCTTTTTTCACTTAATCAAGAATTACGCTGAAACTATTTTGTTAATTGATAAGGAAAAATACCTCACAAGAAGCCTCTTACACAGCCCAACAAAGCTTTTTTTCTCCGAAATTCTCAAATAAAAATTTTACCCCAAAAATGGGTCATTTTGGCTTTTTTCATTTAATCAAGAATTACGCTAAAACTATTTTGTTAAATGATAAGGAAAAATACTTCACAAGAAGCCTCTTACACAGCCCAACAAAGTTTAAGGAGGGTTAAATCTCCATAAACCTGTATAAGTGAAAAAAATTACTTGATAGTCAATAAATGTGATTTTTACTATATAAAACCCAGAATTTTTGCTTAAAAACAAGTTTTAAACAATTTGCGCAATTTTTTGGAGATAATACTCTTCTTAAAGTTTGTTGGGCTACGTAAGGGGCTCACTTTGATATAATTATGTCTGCGATCGACTCGGTTTTTTCGGCGTAATTTTTGATTAACTATGAAACGCCAAAATGACCCATTTTTGGGGTAAAATTTTGGGCCCGAATTTCGCAAAACAAATTACACCATATTATTTCTGCTAAAACTTTAAGCAAGTTTTTTTTCATAAGTTTTCACCTAAACTCGACCCAATTTGAGAAAAACGGGTTTTAAATTTCAAGTTTAACGCGTTTTGTCCGGTTAATTTAAATTAGCAATGTAGTTGTTGTATTGAGCATAAGGTTGAAAAGCTGCCAATCAGTAAACACAGTGTTGATTTAAATTATCCTGACAAAACGAACAAAACTTGAATTTCAAACGCGTTTTTCTTAAATTGGGTTAAGATTAGACAAAAACTGACAAAAGTTGCTGAGAATTTAGAGTACAAAAGTTGCTGAGAATTTCACCAGAATTAATCTGGTGCCATTTTTTCTCCGAAATTCTCAACAAAAAATTTACCCCAAAAATGGTTCATTTTGGTTTTTTTCAATTAATCAAGAATTACGCAGAAACTATTTTGCTAATTGATAAGAAAATCATCTCAGAGGAAGCCTTTTCCGCAGCTCAACAAGGTTTAACAAGGGTTAAATCTCCAAAAATTTGCGCAAATTGTTTGAAATTTATTTTTAAACATAGATTCTGAGCTTTATATAGTAAAAATCACATTTTTTGACTATCAAGTGAAAGTTTTTTCTCTTATACTGTTTTTTGGATATTTAACCCTCCTTAAACTTTGTTGAGCTGCGTACGAGGCTTCCTGTGAGATAACTTTCTTATCAATTAACAAAGTAGTTTCAGCGTAATTCTTGATTAATTGAAAAAAACCAACTTGACCCATTTTTGGTGTAATTTTTTTGTTGAGAATTTCGGAGAACAAATGGCATCATATTAATTCTGGTGAAATTCTAAGCAACTTTTGTCCTCTTCACTTTTTGTCGAATCTTAACCCAATTTGAGAAAAACGCGTTTGAAAATTCAAGTTTTGTTCGTTTTGTCCGGATAATTTAAATCAGCACTGTATTCTCCAAAACGCAAAAGTGTTAAACCGTTTTTTTTGCGAACAAAATTTGGACATTCGTAGTACAGCCTCTAATCACGGCTAAATGGGTGTGAATGTGATCTCGTTTTGCTCGCACGAAGCTTTTAATTATTTCTGACTTTTCACGTAACAAACGCCCGAATCCAAAGTTCCTATACCTACCCGCATTGGTCAGAAAATTGACGAAGCCTGACGATTTTTCATATTAAATTTATGAAATCTATGCAGGCAGTGTGAAGAAAGTACCGCCTTCCGTCAATGGATGTAAGAGTTGTGGGGCGGGTGAGCCTGGGACTCCGCAGCCAGTGAAGAGGAACCTTCTGGACGCCTGTCCCTACTATACTGGAACCAGTGCCAAGGCTATCTTCTGCAGTAATCCCAATGCCAGACTAGTGATGCTCCTCAGAGACCCCTACGACAGAGTGGTAAATATGCCAAACAACATCCGCTGAAATTTCTCAACTTCAAGAAAACGTTTGGAAGCATTGCTTAAAAGGACTTTTTGATACTTAATGATTTCGATTTAAACAACTATAGAAATTATAACTGGATAACTTAAAATTGCAACAAATTTCAAAATGGGATATGATAAAAGGCTTCGCTCTATATCTGATCTGTTCAATTGCAAGGTGCTTACTCAATTTGAGATGTTTTTTTTACGGCAGGATCATTTAATTTTCGACCATGTCATAAAATATAGCCTGAAATTGCACGTTTCTTCTGTAACAGTCTTCAAAAATTCAAAGTTCATTTTTGTTTCAGCTTTCGCAATATAACAGCGATGTTCGCAGGCGAAATCTGAAAACACCAGTTGACACTTTCATCTCAAATATGTCAAATCTCAGACATTCCAACTACTACAGCATACTCTACGAATTTCTACGTTACTTCCAAGCATCCCAAATCCTTTTAGTGCAAACCGAATCCCTGACAACGCAACCACAAGAAACAGTGGATCAAGTGAGAGTTCATTTTGGGATGGAGACGAGAAAAGTCAACCCATTTTGGGGCAATAAAGGTCAGGGAGACAAAACTTACACTGATCCGAGTAAGAAAATAAATGAAGAGGTGTTAAAGAAAATATCAGGATGGAACGAGCAGTTCTTCAAGTTGATTGGTGCTAAGTACAACTGGAAAATGTTTGTTGATGATGCCAGCCAATGAATATTTTTGGACATTGCCTCCTCTTTCATGCCTTTTTATGTCTTTTCTATTGTTTTGTTATTATTCATAAATTGCAATAAATCGTATTTGAATTTAGTTGTTTTTCCAGAAGTTTTTTTTGTGTTCTTCAATCGCTTGGAGAAATCAAAATCGGGACAAAAAATGCTATTTTAACACATAAGTATATCAAAATTAAAATCAGTCTTCCGAAAATCAAATAAATTATCTTGTAAACCCTTTGATTACAACAGGTACCGCGCGTAAACAGGTCGAACACCTGTAATCTCAACACGTTCAAAAATTAGGGCAAAGATCCGATTTGTACGCTTGATATACAAAAAATCCGGTTTTTCTGAGCCAATTTCTATCGAAAGCACCACGGCACTAGAAAAGCAGTTTATCTAAGTTAGATAAGGACTCATTGATAAGATTCGTAAATTTGCCAAAGTGAAATCACAGTATTACATAGCTATTACACTATCGGAACCTTGCCCACTGGGATTTTCTTTTCATTAAAATTTTTTTTGCAAAATTTTTCAAAATTTTGTAAAATAACGCATCCGAAGACAAATAAAAAAAAGCGTTTTCGAATTACTTTTCTAACGACCTATTAATTGTCAAAGACATCAAAACATGTTTTTTTTCGTTCTTTTTCAGGAAAAATTTCTCAGCAATAAATTTGAAAAATTGCGGTTGACTTTTGATTTTCTTCGGATTCAAACGAAATGGTTGTGCTTTAAGAGAGGCAAACTACAAACCAGTTTATAGAATCCATGAACAAATGATAATATATGTGTTTAGTAAACTTAAGCTGTCGCGGAAACCCCAACTGTAAGTAGAATCCAAAAGCTGTAAGCGGAGTCCTCAAATTGTAAGCGGAATCCACATAAATTTGCGGAATCCATTTACTTTTGCGGAATCCGCTTAAATTTGCGGAATCCAGAACAACTATCTATTTTGGCTTGTTGCGGAATCCGCAACAAAATCACTGGGCCGACAAAATTTACGTTACAGCTATTTGAACGCTGAATCCACTGAAATTTTGTAAGTGGAATCCATTGACATTTTGCAACATATTCAAAGACTGTCTCTGGAATCCAGGAAAATACAGGCACAAAATTGTGCGCCTATCCAGTGCAGAGTTTGTCCTCGTAATGAAATTGCATGTGTATTTTCAAAAATGTATCAATTGTTTTTGTGTAGCGAGCTAGCGAGCGTAGTGCTCTATTATGATAAATATTTTCCAACTCAATTTCCAATTAAAAACTCTCATTTGACGTTGTGAAGACAACTTTATAGATTGGGTTTTTTTCTTTTCCGTTTTTTTTCCCAGGAAAAACCTTAAGATTTTTGACGCCAAACTTGATTGTTTGCTATTGATTTTTGATTTGTTTTCAAAATCAATTCAATTTTACGTACTACATGGAAGACCTTTTGTGTTCTCCGAAAACTAGTCAGATTTGGTGCAAAAAAAAATTGAATTATTTCTAGATTCTCTTCTTCAGATTTTCAGGCGGAATAAACCACCTATTGGTCCATTTTCCCCGAATTGTGAAAATTTAATCAGAAAGATGTCCTTAATGGCCATGTTTTTTGCTGGAATTGCGGAAGTATTGGGGAAAAGTTTTCTTTCTTATACAATATCTAAACTATGATTATGACAAAAGACTAATAACAGCAAAAGTACCGAAACTTTCCGGTCAATTTTTTTTATAAAACATTTCGAAATTCAAATTAAAATGTTGTTAAATTTTTTCAAAAAAGCTAAATTTAGTTTTCCTAACAATTTAAATTTTGATTGTTCTCTTATGAGTAGAACTCTTGAAAAAATTCTTTTTCTGATTTTTCTTTATTCCAAATTTAGCATGGTTTTCTTATTTGGTTAGAAACCAGTCCTATAATTGTTTTAATTAGAGAATATGCTTTTTCTTCTACCTTCTCGATGAATAAAGGTATTGCAACCGGTACGAGACTTTTTTCCCGTAAAGAAATTTTTTCAAAGGATCTCTAATCCTGAGATCTCCAAACTTAGCACGTTTGAATTACTTCTAGATTTGAATTACTTCTAGTTTAACAGCAATAGTTGAACGTGCAACAGTTGAACGTCCAGACTCAGTACCTTTTTAGTAAGTCTAGTCTAGAGTTACTAAAAAGGTACTGAGTCTACGGTTGAAAGTATTGTGGGTATGAAATCATTGTTTTCTTCGTTTTTTTAGCTCATCCATTTTTTGGGGATTTTTGCAGAGTGTTTAGATCTGTTTTTTGGTAGATTTTTCAAAAACTATTTCTTCATTTCATGTGTTCGATTGTAGTTTAGGTTTTTCTGATTTTTGTGGTCAGAAAAAAAATTTCAGTCGAAAAAAAAACGTTGTAAACACTTTCGGTTGAAATTTCTAAGTGTATTTAGTTTTTTTTATTGGCTTGGTGTGTTTTAGGTTATAACAATTTCACTTGAAGTTGATTGAATTCGATAGCATAGTCTATTGTTTACATCATAAAAAAAGGTTCTTTGAAAAATGTTCTTCGAGAAATGTTCTTTTTTTGGCAATTTTTACTTGAATGTTTTATCTATGGAGAAATGTGGCAATCTTAGCACGGCATTCAGGAGTTCGGTTGTTTTTTTCTGGCTAGTGTAGAACACTAAAAAAAATTTGACGTCAATTTTTAAAATTTAGGAACAATATAATTGAGCCTTTTTCTGATAAAAAACGCACTGTTTTGAGTGAACGAAGGGCTCAGGGATTTTGTCCTTGAGACTGGAAAAATTACCTTTATTAGAGACTCTTTTTTAAAGAGTCTTAAATAAATCTAAGAATTGATTACAGATTTGGCCGAAAATTGTAAGAGATGATTTTCTGATTAATCATTATTCCAAAGTTTGCTTTATTTTTTGATTTGGTTATAAACCAGCTGTATAATTGTTTGATATAGAGAATAAGCATTAATTTCTCTACCTTTCCGATGAAGAAGGTTATTGCAACCGGTACGAGACGGTTTTTCCTTAGAAGAAGTTTGTTCACAGGATCTCCAACGCTGAGACCTTCAATTTTATCACGTTGCACGTTTCGCAGCTTTAGTTTGACAGCTGGTCTAGAGTTACTGAAAAGAATTGAAACTACGATTGCAAATATTGTGGATACAAAATCATTGTTTTTTTTTTGGTTCTATCAAGTTCACCCACTCTGAAAACTTTGTGATAATTTATGCGCGCTTATTAACCAAATTAAGTGTTAGCGCATAGCAAGGGTGGCCCGAAATCAGGGCCAGGAAAAATAATAATTAGATTTGTGGCATATCACTGGGTTCATATAAACGTCTAGTAGATATCCATTTTATTGTTTTGGGCTTGAAATTGCAAGGGATTTTTTTTTAAAAATAATTCGAACTTTTTTGTGTTCAACGAGCTAGAGAACGGGCTGTTCTATTAAATACCAACTGTTTTTGAACGCGTTACGTTTTTACCAACTTCCAGTTGAGTACGCTCATTCGAGCTAAGTGATTACCCCTATATAGGTCAAGTTGTTTTTTTTTCTTTCACTTTTTTCAGGAAATTATAACATTTATAAAAATAATAAATTTTTTAACACCAATTTCGATCGTTTTGCAAAATTGATTTTTGATTAACGCTCAAAATCAATTAAATTTTGTTTGCGACATTGATGGCAAATTGCGGTCTCCAATCATAAGACGGATTTGGTTCGAAAAAAATTCCAAATTGAGTTTTGATTTTTAGTTAACCAAGAGAAAAAAATCATCTATTGGTCCAGTTTTCCTCAATATAACCAAAAAATTTTTTTTTGCATTCCACATTGAAAGATTTTTCTGGCCATTTATATTAATTATAGCATCTATATTGAGTTATTGAAAGTTTTGGGAGAAGGATTGAAATATTTGGCAATATCTAATTAATTTTTCTGCCAATCAGCTCATAGCATATTTGAATGTTCAAATTGAATTGTTTCTACAGGTTTTTTAAAATTTACTGGAAAAAAATTCAACAGATTTAAGCATAAAAAATTAAGGATTTTATCATGCCATGAAAAAAATGAAAGGAAAGTTAAATCAGTTGAATAAAATGAAACAGTAAATTAACAGAGTTTATACGTCCTCTTAGAAAGTTTAGTAACGTATTCTGATTGGTGTCTGCGATTTGCATGACTTTTCAGTTTAATAATAAAATAATCTAATTAGTTTTTCTTCTCAGAGGGTTTTTGACCCTAACGCCGATGCGCCTCAAAATGGTTTTAGTTATTCCCAATCAAGTATATTTCAGTTATTTTGAGTGAATCTTTTTTACTTCTGTTATGGTTTTGAAATTAATTTTTATTTTTCTCGAGTCGAGAGGGCTAATTTGAAAAGCTCCCAAAACCTTTTGAACGAAAACTAGTAAGCTCTCAATTTTTGATTAAGTTGTTTTCCAAAATTTGCAAGATCTTTTGATGTTTTCATATGTCAGCTTTTGATTTCAGAGTGTTTATTGAATTTATTAACGTTGCCATAAGCAAGGGTAGTGTAATCGGTTACAAGACTTTTCCCTTCAAGAACTTCGTCTAAAAATGTCTTGTTTTTTTAGAACGTTGCATGTTGGTCAGCTGTAGTTAAACAGCAAATTTAGAACTACTGAAAAGATACTGAGTCTAAGGTTGAAAAACAGTGTGATATAATTTTTTTTCTGTTTTATTAACTTCGTCCCAATTTTTTTCGGCTTTTCTGCCTTAGTGTTTGATTCTGCAATTTTATAATAAATTTTTTGAATTCATTTTTTCTTCATTCTTTAGTTTTTAGATGTACTTAAGTTTTTAGATGTACTTATGTATGGTCTGGTTTTCATGCAGGATAACATTTTTTTAGAAAATAAATTGTTAGAAGTTTTCTGCTTTATTTATTTTTCATGCAAATTTTCCGCAAGTGAGTTCGATAGTTTAATAAGTAAATTGTTGTTTTTAAGGAATGGTTATTATATTAAAGCCCTCTGAGTCGTGATTTGAATCACAGTAGAAAATCTCTCATTGTCGGGAAAAACCAAATTGGAATTTTTGATTTTATTTTCTAATTTGTGCGAGTAAAGC